AACTCGTTGAACTACGTCATGACTTGATCTCTTCTTTTCCTAGAAGGGTACGTAGGCAGCTCATAAGACCACTTTGAGTTCAGTCACATGCTAAAATTTGGAGTTTCTCATCAGTTTAGCACTATTCGACTTCTAATTCGCTTCATCAGGGCTACATTAACATCTTTCATTCAACACCAAGTTGGCACTCCCTGTTCATCCCTGTTGTGCTTACACCATTTGCTACCTTTGCCGTCGTCAAATGAATATCTTGCCTGGTTTTCTGCAACATGTAATTTACCTTGACATGTCCACTCCAAAAGCTTTACTGTGGATAATTTCTTTGGTGAATCTTATAAAAAAAGAAAAAAAAAGAAAAAAAAAAGGAAGTCTCTTTGGGAAAGTGTTTGTGCTTGATCAAGTTGGGTGTCCTCCAATGCGTAAAGCCTAAGCGCTTGAGCGGGTTATCACCAAGTCGGAGAGATGGATCAAACCCAAGCGGTATAAAAGCCTAAGCGCTTGAGTGGGTTATCACCAAATCAGAGAGATGGATCAAACCCAAGCAGTATAGGAAGTCTACTTTCTTCACTCGTCCTCCAACAAGATCGACCCTAAGCACAACAGACGCAAGAAAGAAGAATTGTGTAGATGCAGGCAACATGAGCAAACGAATTCAAATGGTGCATATATATATAAGTGTATATATATTAAGAAGTACAGACTTCAAGCAAGAGAAGCACCACTAACAATGTGATTATAAGTTGCCAAGGGATGCTGCCAACGTATTGAAAAAGAGAAGTGGAAGCTTTGGTGCACAAACCAAGCAAAAGAGGCATAGGGAATTCCCTTGTTTGGGTCCTAAATATTTTAATAAAAAATCAGGAGGGACATATTCTTTCCATTTTGGTTTTAGAGCATTCAAGATCATAATCCCTTTTGATTATTTGCCACGAAAGTAGCGAGACAAAATTGACCACGAAAATTTTTCCCTTTAATTTCCGACGCATTCAAGGAAATTATGTGATGATACAAGATCAAGCCATCAATTAATTGCTAGTGCTCATTGAATATGGAATTTTCTTCACCACCACGCAAGATTGTTGATTTAGTTGGAGGCCTTTTCAAAATACAAGGATTTCTTTATCATATGAAACTATATGATCTGGAGGTCTGATGGTCCAGGGTCCAGTTGTGCCAAAGCCCATGTTCAATGCACTCATGCAAATGATTATCGGCCAAGAGTTGATACAGCCAAGAAAAAAAAAGAACTTGTACAAGAAAGGTCATTGCAACAATAGAAAGGTGATTGCCAACAAGAGTGGCTTCATCAAATCAAGATCAACTCTTGCAATTGACCTGTGAACAAAATGCATTCGCCATCAAGAGGGACTTCAAGTCACACTATAGATATGTGGCAAGCACACATCTACAGTGCATCATGAAGTGGGGGCAATTTGTAGACAATGAAATTTTGGTAAATTAAATTCCACTAAGCAAGAAAATAATTAGGGTTTGGTGAATTAAATTGTGGGACCCATAATTTGCCCATGTGGTACAACTCATCAAAATTGGATTAATTGTCAAAATTGACACGTGTCGACATCCGGCGGAGGGCATCAAACGGTTCAAAGTGAAGAGAAAATTAAAGGAAAGAATCTTCTATGATTGACTTTGATTTAAATCAAATATTAATCAAGTCAATCAATTGAAGATAATTTGGTTAAATTGCCAAATTATTGGAATTGATTTTAAATCAAATCGAAATCCCACAAAGCAAGGTCCTAAAAAAGGAAAGCTTTTTAGGTCAAACATCATGCAGGAGCTAGCCTATAAATAGGAGGCCTCAAGACGAAGAAAAGGGGCTTAGACACACCCAAGCACTCAAAAGAAACAGAAAACTCTCTGCATTTTTCACCTCACTTCGGAAGAGCCACCAAGCACAACAAATACATGCCGGTTCCTCCACCCTAGAAAAATCCAATCACCAAACAAGCTTTGTGCTACCCGTTTGATCAAGATCAAGTCTCTACGACCCTTGTATCAAACACAAATTTTCTTTAAACACTTTGGCGATCGAATCAAGGGAAATTCTTTTATTTTTTCCTCCACCCTAGAAAAATCCAATCACCAAACAAGCTTTGTGCTACCCGTTTGATCAAGATCAAGTCTCTACGACCCTTGTATCAAAAACAAATTTTCTTTAAACACTTTGGAGATCGAATCAAGGGAAATTCTTTTATTTTTGTAAAAGAATACCCACAGAGATTGTAACCTACACACTTGATAAATCAGTACAAATATTATTTTGTACACATGTTCTTGTCTCATTTGTCGCAGGATTTTCGTGTTTACACTATTACTTGAGAAATCTATATATCAATCTTAGAAGATAAGGAGTATTCGTATATTTCAACTCAACCTCTTTTGCAAAAGTCGTGATCGAGTATGGATAAGCATAGAAATAGGCATATTTATCTGAGCTGTCGAACTTCTCAAAGACACTAAAATAATGTTGCTGGTTCTTGCCAACAAATTTCATGGAATTCCAGTTCTCTAAGTAGTTAGAGGGTAACATACCTAAAAAACCGTTGTTAGATAAATCAATGATGCACAACTTTGGGAAGTCATGGTTAGCTGCAGACTTCCCAATCATGCCATGAAATCGATTGGACCTCAAAACGAGAGCCCTTAATGCTGGAAGTGCTCCTGACCAAGATGGGAAGATGTCGCTTATCTGATTGTTTTCGAGGTTAATAAACTCTAATTGAGTGCAATTGGCCATTGATCTTGGTATCTTCCCCTGTAACTGATTGTAACTTGAATCAACCATTTTCAAACTATTTTCATCTGGACACATTTGAGGAATACTTCCATGAAAAGAATTGTTCGTCAGCATCGATATTTCAAGAGCACTGGAGTTCCCCAAACATTGTGGAAGCATGCCACTCAGGTTGTTGTTGGACAAATCAAGAATCTGCAAATGATTCAAGTTGCAGAACGAGGGCGAAATTTCTCCACTGTAATGATTGCTGCCGACCATATAGTTTCTGATTGATTGTGGTGGAATTGGCAATGATCCTTGTAACATATTAGTCTGGAGATCTAAAGAACGTAGATTCTGCCATGGAAGATTGATTGGATTTTGGTCAAATCCTGTTAAGAAGTTGGAAGAGAGGCCGAGAGTCAACATTTCTCTAGTTGCATTCCACACCCATTTTGGTATTCACCCTTGAATGTTGTTTTCACAAAGTTGTAAGTAGCGCAATTCGGATTGATATTTTAAAAATTCTGGAAATTCGGTTAAGTTGCATGACATCAACCCTAGAAGTTCAAGCTGTGAAACAGTAGCACTCAAATTGGTTATGATCTGCAGAGATAACTTGTTGTATGATAATTGAAGTTCCTTTAACTTTTTGGGCTGGGAAAACTGATCAAACTCAAATTGTCCACTCAAGTTATTAGAGGAAAGGTCAAGAAATTTAAGATTTTTGAGCTAGAAGAGTGACCTAGGAATTGCTCCTTGCAAGTTGTTACCCTGGAGGTATAGAGTAGTTAATTGGGTCAAATTCATAAGCCAAGATGGGATTTGACCAGTTATTTCGTTATTACCCTAGTCTAGTGTTAAATTTAATACACACTTTAAGAATTTAGAAAAATCTAGAAGAAATTAGAAAACTCAATAAAAGTCTACGAAAGTTAAGCTTTAATAATTGTTGTAATCTCATAGAAAATTCTTAATAAAAATCTTGTAATAAAGTAATAATATTATAATGTAGTGGCTATATGAGAAGAAGCCATGTCCACCGACATGGACAATGGCTGCAGGACGCAGCTTTTGTGTATAAATAGATGATGTCTCTTGTACAAAAGCTAAGAGAGAGAAAAGGCCAAACAGCCAGCAAAAAGTGAAAAAGGCCAATAAGCCTAGTAAACAATTTCTAGTTGTTGAAGGCCAATAAGCCTAGTCTTGTATAAAACCTTGTACCCATCTATTGTGGAATAAATAAAATCACTTTGTTGTTCACCTCTTCACCCAGAAAATCCAACCTAGAAAATGAAAGTTGAGTGAGGTTAGCCACAAAACTTGGGAATTTTCCCCTGAATTTGGTGAACGCAAGGGACAAACTGTGGAGGTTGGTTAAACTTGCTATCCAAGACAAGGAATATTCAGAAACTAATTGGCCTGTGGAATTATTATTTGGAACGTCATTAAATGAAGTCACGGCAGAGAAATTTGTGAACGCAAGGGACAAACTGTTGAGCTGGGTAAGGTTTCCGAGTGAAGATGGAACAAGGGGGTAAAATTGACAGCTAGAAATGTCCAACAAATTTAAGGAATGAAGGTTTCCCATAGAAGCGGGCAGCATGCCCGAGAAATTTGTGAACGCAACATTCAATTTCTTGAGGGCATTGCTCCTGTTGAAGTTAGGGAAATAACCGGTAAGGTTTGAGTAATTACCTTCCACATCCAGAACCTCTAAGTTTGGTAGGTGGAAGATGCCAATTGGGAATTCCCCATTCAACTCACAATCGCCAAGTTGGAGAGATGTGAGAGAAGATGCATTGACCAAGATATCAGGCACAGTGGAGTACATCTCTACCCAATTAAGATGAAGTTGTTTTATGGTGGTCAAGTTCTGAACCAGGCTTCTCATGTTGGCCTTGGTCAGTTTCAAAGGGATACTATCATCAAGTTTCTGATCATTGAAAGACAGATCAAGGGTAGACAGCTTCGATAACTTTGAAATTTCTGATGGAATTTGGCCAGAGAATAAGGAATTTGAAGGTTGAGATATGTTAGACTCGAAAGATCATGACCAAATCTTGACGGTATTTGAGAGAAATTGAAGTGATTATCTGAGAGGTCAAGCCTCTGCAAGTGAACAGCGTAAGAGAGTGTTGCTGGAATTGATAGAACCGTAGAGACAGCTGCTACGGAGATCAAGGCCGACAACATGGCCAAAGTCTTCATCACACTCAACACCATCCCATGAACAACAATTACTCCGATTCCCATCTCCTTCTCGCGTCCAAAATGAAACCTTCGGATAAGCAAGAGGATCTGCAGAAACAGACTTGCTAATTGCAAAGCTTTCCTTGAACTGCAGCAAGGCTGAGCACTCATCAACCTGGCCAAGTGCCTGAGTCTGTACAAGTGAAAAACAGTGAGTGGCATTGAGTAATAGCAAAAGAAAACAACGTACAGAAATAAACTTTGACGGCCACGATTCCATTCCCATATCACAGCTATGTTTTCTGATTATGGAAATGCTTATGGCTCTTACGTAATTAAGGATGGAGAAATCCACCTGCTTAATTATGGCTCTCACACAATTAAGGGTGGAAAAAATGTAAACTCCTTTTATAGACGAACAACTCATGAAAAACATAGTTGTAACTAGAGAAAGTATAAAAAAGTGAAAGAAAAAAAAAAGAATTGTGCTGAGTGCCTCAAGTCGTCAGCGAGACGTTCATCATTGTCTCTACTTAATATGCATGTACCTCATTGGCTTGAAGTCAAATTATTAAGGCCAATCTACGATTAATTAATTTAATGACTTGGTCAAGGTTATCGTTTTCATATCTATTTTTTGGTGTTAACAGGTCCTTTTACACAAGGAGATATTGTAAGGCTTAATTATGATATATGTTTGCGATTATGCTTGTGAACTTTTCATAATGTCAATTTCTTGAGCAGCAAAGTTGAAACCTGTCCATACACCTTTATTCTTCTATGCATCACATACCATATGTCTTATTTTGCACTCACTTTGTGAATGCTTAGTTTTAAAAGAAAAAGGAATTGGAGAGATAAAATCAAATGTATCATATCAACTATCACCTAAATATAACAATCAATAACATCGTTTTTCCACTATAACACCAAGGGCCTAGATGACAGTAAAACGCATCAATAATATCTAATCCAAGACATACATTTCATGTAAACACATTTCTTTCACCTCCCACACATCAAATAATTCTCTTGGATAGTGGTTTCATCTTCTTGTTTGGGCTGCTTCATGCTAGCTCACTCTCCCCTTCTATGAGTTCTTAATCCCCACACTCTCTGAGAGTCATAATCACTAGAAACTACATTTATAAGGGTTTTGATACATACAAAATAAAATAGAATTCAACGTACAAATTAATGTTATTGATGAAAACACAAGAAATGTGAAGAGAAATTACGGAGTGAAGCCAAACTTGAGCATGAATCGACCACAAGCCTCAATATCCAAAGGAAGAACATTTGAATGTAAGGTCTTGATCATATGTCTTCCGTCTTCTGGAACAAATATTTGAAACGTGGTGATACAAATATATTGAACCTTGTAAAATTCATAATTAGTGCCAGTCTTAACATGAAAGAAGTCTTGGTTCCCCAACTGAATAAAATAGTCACTCTCAAGCCCATCAAATGGACATGGTGGAGACGCAATCTTCAGGCCGTCCAATTTACACAGCTTGATTAGTGTGTATGCAATATTACTGTCATCGAGTTTGTTCATCCTCAAGGAGAATGCTATAATCTCATCCACTTGAAATAGATCCAAGGCACATAGGGCTCGTTTGGTGCACCGTATTAGACTTTTGATATGAGTAAATAGTCTATGTCAGGTGTTTGGTGTCAACTTGTATTATTTAATTACTCGCCAACAACCACCGCCCTCTCTCGGAAAGGAGTATAATCACAAATGTCAACTTCCACTCGATTCCAATTAATTCTTTCCATCCATGTAAAAAGCAACGACATCAGAGTTTCCATGTCCGTCAATCAGTCTATACAAAATAATTCCATAACAAACAGAAATAAACTTTGACCACCGTGATTCCATTCTCACGGCAACTATATCATTTCTAATATATTACATAATTAAGGGTGGAGAGCTTTAACTCGCTTTTATAGACACACAACTACAAAATAATCCAAAACATGTGGATGAGTCAATTATTTGGAAATGCGAAAATTATAAAAATTAATAAACGGAGAAGGTGAACAGAAATTGCTTGAAGTCAAGTCGTTTGCTCAGAGTCTGTCTGCATGTAGACTTTCAGCCAAGCACATCTTTGTGACGCGTCATTAAGGCTAACCATTCAAAAGTCGTTACAGTCTTTTCTGAGAACTTAAATTCAGTAGCAATTTTGTCTGGGATTTGCACTCAACCCAAACTTCAACTCCCAATCCAATACGAAACAAATTTATGCAAAACATGTCAAATTTAATTTTCAATTAAAACTAATAACCAAATAGGAAAATTACAGCGCAAGACTCAACACCACCACATATTTGAGTACTCGTTGAGAAATACATTACAAATATATTATTGAACATCTACAAATAACTTACACCACCACATATGCAAAATATACTACACAATTGGTACCACGAAACCTCACACCACCACAACATAATATTCTTTGAAGGCTCAAATACTTTCCTTATGGACACACCAAACATGCATACATAAACACAGATTCATGGCCTTGGGCTAAGTTCTGCTTCCCCTCCTAGCCCTTGTGCCTCTTGGCTTCCTCCTCCTGCTAAACGTCTCCACAAACCATTCATGCTTCTTTGTTGTCCATATGTTCCCAACAACCACTCCAACAATCAGACCACTAACAACTCCTGGCAAAACCACGTACCAATCTAGTGCAATTTGAAATACAGAGTCTTCTTCTTCTCCCACGATTGATGGTGGTGGCCGCGTTGAGCTCTCAGAATCTTCACATTTCTTTGGCAGAGACTTTCCACACAGACCTGAGTTTCCTTCGTACGAGTCCTCCTGGAATGTATCGAATTGTTTGCCATGTGGTATAGGCCCGGAGAGATGGTTATGGGATACATTAAAATATGCAAGGAAAGTGAGTTGTGCTAAATTACTCGGGATCCTTCCTGAGAGCTGGTTCTGGGAGAGATCTAACGATTCGAGAGCAGCCAAGTCCCCTAAAGATGAGGGGATGTGACCAGTGAGAGAGTTGTTGGAAAGGTTCAGCAAAACAAGGCCTCTTAGGTTCCCAACGGGACCTTCTGGAATCTCTCCTTCAAATCTATTACTTGACAGATCTATGAGTGTGAGAAGATAAGGGGTCTTTTCATATTTCAACTCAACACCTTTGCCACTTATTGTCATTGCGTAATGATAATTAGAGTATCGTCCACCGACGACATCCGTATATACTTCATAAGAAGTTCCCTGGTTTTCATCAACATATTTCATGGAATTCCAGATCTCTAAGTAGTTAGAGGGCAACATACCTGAGAAACCATTGTTAGATAAGTCAATGATGTGCAAATTTGGGAACTCATGTTTGGTTGCAGGCTTCCCAATTACGCCATGAAATCCATTAGACCGCAAAATGAGAATCCTTAATTCTGGAAGTGCCCCTAACCAAGATGGGAAGATGTCACTCATCTGATTGTTTGCAAAATTAAGAACCTTTAACTGAGTACAATTCATCACCCCTCTTGGTAGCTTCCCCTGCAACTGATTATAACTAAAATCAACAATTCTCAGACTAGTTTTGCTTGGACATATTGGAGGAATATATCCATTAAAAAAATTGTTATGCAGGGCCAATATTTGCAAAACACTAGAGTTACCCAAACATTGTGGAAGCATGCCACTGAGGTTGTTGTTGGACAACTGGAGAGCTTGGAGATTATTGAAGTTGCAGAACAGAGGTGAAATTTCTCCAGTATATTCGTTGTTTTCGACATCATAAATTCTGATTGATTGCGGTGGAATTGGCAGAGGTCCTTGTAACATGTTAGACCCAAGAGACAGAATGGTCAGATTCGTCCATGGGAGAATGCCTTGATTTTGGTCAAATCCAGTTAACGAGTTGTTCTCGAGATAGAGTCTTGACAAAGTTTCTCTAGTTGCATTCGAGACCCATTCTGGTATTCGCCCTTGAATTTTGTTGTCAGAAAGGTCTAGCTTAGTCAATTTGGATTGATTTTTCAAAAAAATTGGAAACTCTGTTAAGTTGCAGAAGCCCAGTTCTAGAGTTTGAAGTTTTGGAAGAGTAGCACTTAAATCATTTCTGATCTCCACAGATAACATGTTGTTCGATAATTGAAGGCCCTTCAACTTTTTGAGCTTGGAAAACTGATCAAACTCAACCAACCCACTCAAGTTATTACCGGCAAGAAAAAGATATTCAAGATTTTCGAGTTGGAAGAGCGACCTAGGAATTGGTCCTTGCAAATTGTTATAACGAAGTCTTAGAGAGGTTAACTGGGTCAACTTCATAAGCCAAGATGGGATTTGACCTGATATTTCATTATCGGACAAGTTTAGCAATTCAAGTTGTGTCAGGTTAGCCACAAAAGATGGGAATTCTCCCTTTATGTTGGTTTCTCTAAGGCTCAAGCGGTAGAGTTTGGTTAGTTTTCCAACCCAAGAAAAAGAAACAGATAGCTTGCCTTTGGAAACGTCATTAAATGAAGACATGTCAAGGTAACTGAGTTGGGTAAGGTTTGCCAATGAAGAAGATGGAACATTGGGATGAAAATTACACGATGAGATGACAAACACAATCAAGGAATGAAGGTTTCCGAGGGAGGTAGGCAGTTGGCCAGAGAAATTCGTGTCGGCAACACCCAATTCCTTGAAAACATTGCTCTTGTTAAAGGTGGGAAAATAGCCTGTTAGGTCTGAGTTAGAGCTCACATAAAGAACCTCTAAGTTTGGTAGATGGAAAATGCAAATTGGGAATTCCCCATTCAACCCACAACTGACAAGTCGGAGAGATGTGAGAGAAGATGCATTGACCAAGATATCAGGCACAGGGGAGTATATGTCTACCCCACTAAGATGAAGCTTTTTTATGTTGGTCAAGTTTTGAACGAGGCTTCTCAGGTTTCCCTTTGTCAATTTTAAATGGCTACTATCATTAGTTTTCCGATCATTGAACGACATATCAAGGGTAGACAGCTTCGATAACTTTGAAATTTCTGATGGAATTTCTCCGGAAAAGAAGGAATTTGAAAGGTTGAGATATGTTAGACTCGAAAGATCATCACCGAACCTTGATGGTATTTGAGAGAAATTGAAATGATTATCTGAGAGGTCAAGCCTCTGCAAGTGAACAAGGCGGAAGAGAGTGTTGCTGGAATTGATAGAACCGTAGAGACAGCAGCTACGGAGATCAAGGCTGACAACGTGGCCGAAGTCTTCATCACACTCAACACCATCCCATGAACAACAATTACTCCGATTCCCATCTCCTTCTCGCGTCCAAAATGAAACCTTCGGATAAGCAAGAGGATCTGCAGAAACAGACTTGCTAATTGCAAAGCTTTCCTTGAACTGCAGCAAGGCTGAGCACTCATCAACCTGGCCAAGTGCCTGAGTCTGTACAAGTAAAAAACAGTGAGTGGCATTGAGTAATAGCAAAATAAAACTACAGACAGAAATAAACTTCGACAGCCAAGATTCGATTCCCATTGCAATTTTGTTTTCTAATTATGTATGCTTAATTATGGCTCTCACACAATTATAAGCTCCTTTTATAGACGCACAACTCATGAAAAACGTGGTTGTACGTAGTTAGAAGAAGCCAAGAAGGTGAACAGAAGTCTTCGAACTCTTCCAAAGCTAACCATTCGAAGTCCTTAAAGTCTTAAAGCTGGTTCATACAACTAAATCAACTAGCCGTTCACATCCACAACTAAAACTCTTATGCCAAATCCTATCCCGTTCATATCTACGCAAAATATGTCAAATTTAGTTCAGTTTAAAACTGATAATCAGAGCAGAACAATTACAGAGCAAAATGACGAATGCAACTGTTTTTTTTATTATTTATAACTATTTTACTTTAATGTTTGTTCATGTTATGTTAGTTTTTTTTTTTTTTTTGTGAACATTTCAACCAAAAAAAATCAAAATTTGGACAAGATTTGGAAATCAACATTTATTTCATAGATACGATACAACACGATTAAATTAAAACAAGAGATTAACAAAAAAATTACAAAAAATTAAATAATCTAGTGAGTGAAAAAATTTGACAAATTGATCAAGAGTGATAAAGATGTTGTGGTATGTAAAAATTATGAGAGATATGGTTGATATTTATAGGAAGAATTGAGTTGCAAATCTTTTTTTTTTTAAAAGAAAAAAAAAAAAAGAAAAAATATGGCCCTGTATAGCCGTTCTCATCTTTTGCAAAATTAAAGAACTACTCTGTCTGTTCCTCCATTTCAAAAAATTAACGATAAAAGAAATCTGCAAGAAAACCAGTATGGTAATTACAATATAGCTAGCGGTCAAACAATGCCGCTAACATCATGAGAGGGAAAAAGATGTTTTCTTAAACGAAAACTGGAACTCTAATTTTGCAGTGTTCAAATCACCATTGGGAAAAAGACCTTTCTTCGGCAACCAAATTTGTAAATATATATGCAGAAAATCCTGTTGGCTTTGAAAAAGTGGTTTAACAATATAGCCATTTACACAGCTTTTGAAAAATTGGTTTAGCTATCATGCTGGGTCAACATGCTGTTGACAAAACCAAAAAATGGCAAGTATGGCCTTGTACAATCGCAAGGCAAGTGAGAAAGCCAAAAAGGTGGGCTGCAGCCTTTTTCCTTGCGGGACCCACTCGGTTTCAAGGGCTTCAACCAAGAACATACATTTAGCTACTACTCTGGTTGGGCTTCAAGTTTTAAAGCCCCAAATTTGCACCCGGGGATGCCTTTTTGAGGAAAGTTTGTATGGGTGGTTGGGCCCCAATTGGAATCCCCATTGGGGATGGCCTTACGAGGCCGTAAAACCACATCAGCACCAACTTCACAAGTCCTATGAAAAATTAATTCTGCCCTACTAGCAGCATCTATCCCATCAACTCCGTCAACTTTTACAAATGTCACAGGTATCGGTTTCCCATCACGTTTGAAAGATAATGATCCCTTATACCATTCTTCTGATTTATTATAATCAAATGACAAACTGTAAGAACAAATCCTCGGCCCAATAACCTTGTCATGTGAATCATTCCTATCATACTCATCTTTTGCAAAATTAAAGAACTCTGTCTGTTCCTCCATTTCAAAAAGTTAACAATAAAAGAAATCTGCAAGAAAACCAGTATGGTAATTACAATATAGCAGTCAAACAATTCCGCTAACAAGATGAGAGGGAAAAGGATGTTTTCTTAAACGAAAACTGGAACTGTAATTTTGCAGTGTTCAAATCACCATTGGGAAAAAGACCTCTCTTCGGCAACCAAATTTGTAAATATATATGCAGAAAATCCAACACTACTTTGGCAGAATATTTAACAACATACCTGAATTTGGCAGACGCTCCAATTCAAGGAAATCTAAAATAAAAAATAATTCACAAAAATTCGAATAGGTTAGATTGGAAACCAAGGAAGAAGAGAACAGAAAAGAGGGAAACAATAGACCACAGCAACAATCGAAACTGAGAAAGCAATAGACAACAGTCAATCTGGACAAGCCAACAAAGAGCCCCACAACAGGTTACTGTACCAGACACAAAACAGTTAAAACACTCGGCATGACTTAATTTGTATTTTTTTTATAACTGTTATTCCCAGAATTAAATCTTTACGCCTCATGAATCAACCAACGAATCTACGGTTTCAAATTTTCATGTCGTGGTAAGGATTATGAAGGCATATGTTTTCATCAATCACGAAGGTGTGCCATGAATCTCTTGAGTGGCATGCGATATTTATGAAAGGCTGGTGGGATTGTGAGCAACAACGGCACTCGTTCATCATGAGGCAGTGCGAGGCAACCAGGTGGTGAGGTCGGCGGTGCGTCGACGAGCAGAAAGTTGGATGGTGGAGGAAGAGCCGCATGTAAATTATAATTACACTCATTATTCTTGTTTTAATATTGTATTTATAAAAAAAAATTAAATTAGTTATCTTACAATTTAAATAGTTTAAATTTAATGACTTGACTTGAGGCAAGTTATTCGAGACTCAAATTTAATGTTCGTAGCATTATTGGTTTGATAAAGATGTATAGTTGGTCGATCAATGTTCAGAAGAAAATATAACAAAAGGTAGATCATGAATGAGAAAACATAAGGTAACCTAACCTTTGATTATCGTAGACAATGAAGCAAAAACAGATCCGGATCCAACGATACCTTTGATTCAAAGACAGATCCAACGATACCTTTGATTAAGAAGAGCGAAGCAAAAAAAGATATTGAATCAAAGAGAGATCCAAGAGGAAGAGCCGCATGTAAATTATAAAACACTTACTGAACTAAATCTCATAAAACAAGTAACAAACTCAATGATTATAAAACGGGTAACAAAAAACATTGCATGATAAAATAAGTAGCACTGACAAATTCTGATACTAAAGTTGTAGAAAATTTTAAAAAGGGAAACTAAAAAGAATAAAGAAATCAATACTTAGCCAAAATATGTTGCACTGAATTACATCTTACATACAATTAAAAACCGAAAAAAGTTCTTTCAGAAAAAATGGGAAGTCAATTCTCTGGTCCTCATGTGCACGATAAAACGGGTAACCAACCTTTATGTCGGTTCATATTTTATGAGTTGTGTGGTATAAGATAACTAGTTATTTTTTATATATATATATTTAAAAAGAAAAAAGAATAGCAAGAATTTTACACGAGTTAGAAACTTTCCTCATATCACACCCCAAAGCAACCATAATAAAACTCCCCTCTGCAGCGGCATCCCCAAACCCTAAACTCCCCTCTGCAGCCGCATTTCAATAGCGAACGCCTTATCATTTGTTATCATGGGGTATCGGAAAATATCTCAACTTTGCGCCACCGCCGCTAACCTCACCTCGGGTCAAGACCATGCCTTGACGATGGCTTCACACGAAGATAAGCTCCTGGGCAAGATATCAGAGATCGAGAAATCCCTAGCCGCACTTTCCACCCAGAAAATCCAACTGGTCGATTTGAAGAAATCAATATCGGATGAGCTTGACCTACTACGCGCCAGTAGGGCCCACAGTCACAAACATGGGGCTGTTCATCCTTACCCAAGGTCAGTGCCTGGCTTATCTTCTTAATTTCTGTTTCTCTGTAAAATTGTTGTTTTTCTTGATTCGCCTTTATGTTTTTTTGTTATAAACTTTTTCGACTTGTTTTAAAAATTCACTTGGCTTGTTCTATATTTATCTATTCTCTGTCCAGATTTCCCATGAAGGAGGAGGCATCAATGACGGTAAATCAGGGGGTACATGTTGGAAATTTGGCTCACCTAAGGATACAAAGTCCTCTTTTGTGTGCTATGGATTTCTACCTAAATTCCATGACATGGTTGACTCATTTCTAGAAGAATTTTGGAGTTGCCCATGTGAGTAAATATTGGCTTGCCATCTTTGTCAAAAATAGGTGACTTGTTTGGTGGCACAAAATGGTGGAATGTTTGGTAGCCATCCATGGTTAAGTTTGGTAGCCAACATTTGAATAGTGTGAGGTTGCATTCACACTCTTGCATATTTGGCTATATAAAGGGGTTTAGCATGCAAGAAGCAAATCATGGCTTAAGAGTTCTCTAGTGTATCAAAGTGTAGAGCAAGGGGTGAGAGAGAAAAGAGAGCTTGGGGAGAGAATAGAGTTCTAAGGGGGTTTCTTTGTAAACCAAAGTTGTAACTTATTCTTTCATTAGTGAATTTCTCAAGGGGATCACCAAGAGGATGTAGGCAATTGCTGAACCTCTATAAATTCTTGTGTCATCCCTCTGTACCTCCTACCTTAGAGTTGAAGCCGAGTGGAACATTCGTGTCCGCATATGACAGACTCTATTTTCTTGAAGAAGCATCGCCCTTCATAGCAGATCCGCTTCCATCTTTTGCGAAATACAATCCTGATGAGAACGATTGGGAGCAAATGCCTGAGTTCCCAATTCGTTATCCTTATCCTATGCGGGTAACTGGTTATGCTGTTTGTTATGGACTTATTTTGTATACACTAATTGACGGACACGAAAACTCTGATGTTGTTGCTTTTCACATGGGTGGAATGAATTGGATTCGAGTGGAAGTTGACACTTGTGATTATACTCCTTTCCGAGGGAGGGCCGTGGTTGTAGGCAAGACTATATATGCCTTGGATCTATTTCAAGTGGATGAGATTATAGCATTCTCCTTGAAGATGAACAAACGCGACGACGGTAGTATTGCATACACACTAATCAAGCTGGCTAATTGACGGACACGAAAATTCTGATGTTGTTGCTTTTCACATGGGTGGAATGAATTGGATTCGAGTGGAAGTTGACACTTGTGATTATACTCCTTTCCGAGGGAGGGCCGTGGTTGTAGGCAAGACTATATATGCCTTGGATCTATTTCAAGTGGATGAGATTATAGCATTCTCCTTGAAGATGAACAAACGCGACGACGGTAGTATTGCATACACACTAATCAAGCTGTGTAAATTGGACGGCCTGAAGATTGCGTCTCCACCATGTCCATTTGATGGGCTTGAGAGTGACTATTTCGTTCATTTGGGGAACCAAGACTTTTTTCATGTTAAGACTGGCACTAATTATGAATTTTACAAGGTTCAACATATTTGTATCACCACTTTTCAAATATTTGTTCGAGAAGACGGAATACATATGATCAAGACCTTACATTCAATTGTTCTTCCTATGGATATCGAGGCTTGTGGCCAGTTCATGCTCACGTTCGGCTTCACTCCGTAAGTTCTCTTCACATTTATTGTGTTTTCATCAATGACATTAATTTTTACGTTGGATTCTATTATAGTTTGTATGTATCAAAACCCTTCTAAATGTAGTTTTTGGTGATTATGGCTCTCAGAGAGTGCGAGGATTATGAACCCATAGAAGGGGAGAGTGCAGCTAGCATGAAGCAGCCCAAACAAGAAGATGAAACCACTATCGAAGAGAATTATTTGATGTGTGGGAGGTGAAAGAAATGTGTTTACATGAAATCTTTTTATTTATTTAATGACTGTGATTGAAAGAAACGATGTTATTGATTGAAAGAAATGGGTTTTGCAGATTGAAGCCAAGGAGGAAATAAGCCTGGGTAGCATGAGACAGCCAACCAGAAAAAAAACCCAAGGACTGCAAACGGAAAAATATAAAAAATATAAAAAAAAATAAAAAGAAAAGAAAGAAGAAGCGGATTGAAGGAGGAACATGTAGTAGAAAATAACATGTAATGTAAGTACTTGAGGAGCAGGGAATCTGTGTTGGATTAGATATTATTGTGGCGTTTTACTGCCATCTAGGCCATTGGTGTTATAGGGGAAAAACGATGTTATTGATTGTGATATTTAGCTGATAGTTGATATGATACATTTGATTTGATCTCTTCAATTATTTTTTCTTTTAAACCTAAGCACTCATAAAGTGAGTGCAAAATAAGACATGGTATGTGATGCGTAGGAATTTGATGTATGTGTGTGTTGAGTGTTGCGTTGCATAGAATAATGCACAGGTTTCAATTTTGCTGTAAAAGGACCTGTTTATATTTTCAAATGGGAAAAACAAGATGTCATGTTGCCCAGAAGCTAAACCCAACCATGACTTATTTACAAATAACGATTAATTATTTGACCAAAAGACGGAAAAAAGAAGATTCATTAGTCAAAAACAAGGAAAGTCACGTGGCGAGTCACGTGTCCGGTTTCAAAGGCAAGCGCGCTCACCACACGGCCTCCTCTACCTCATCTCCTTCCCTCCTAAATGCCAATCGTTCAGTTAACTTACCTCTTTAGTCAATTACGTTTTTCTGTGTTAATATAAACCACCAAATTTCCACGAAATACTTTCTTACATTTCCATCTACAAGTAGGTATATCAGTAAATTTTACATTTCCTCAATCTAATTATGCATTTCCTCGGGGTATTTTCTTCTTTCTTCTCTAGCAAACAGGTGCAAAATGAAAATTTAGAGATGGGGTTTCTGAAGGAATGTTTAAAGATACAAGGTACATACATTATGTTGTCGAATCAGTATACGTTTTGTACATACATTATGGATGTGCTGCCTACTATAGTTATTTGTTTCGGCCGATCCTGAATTAGAAAATAAATGCAACTAGTGACGGGATACTTTTTCGACTATAATTTACTGACAAATTTAATGGCCCTATCGAAATCTACTTAACTTTGAGGAATGTTGGATGTGCTGCCTACTATAGTTATTTGTTTCGGCCGATCCTGAATTAGAAAATAAATGCAACTAGTGACGGGATACTTTTTCGACTATAATTTACTGACAAATTTAATGGTGTCTATGTGAAGGAAAGAATACCTATGATTCATATACTTGCATTATCAAGGTTAATAGTAGTGTTGACGGGTTGCCTTTCTAACTGATTGGAGGATTCAAATAAGGTGCAAATCTTGAAAGAAAGTGTTCACTTAGGCCCTAACAAAGAATTTGATTCCTTGTTGATATACAGCTGATTTATTGCGGATAAATCTCTTTCGGATGTGATAATACCGTTCTACTTTTTTGTTCAAAATATGAAACAAAAAAAGAGGACTAGCATACTGCTTTCGGATAAATCTCTTCCTTCTTTTGGCCATTATCAACTTGTGCGAATTTCTTTAGAGTTATGAATGTCAGTATATATATATATATAAAACAAAAAGAAGAGGACTTGCCTAGCGCCTAGGCACCCACCTAGCGATTAGGCGCCACTTGTCAAAAAAACATATAGCCGCGTAGATATACTATTTTTTTTTTAATAGTCTATACTCTTTAAATATATTATATTTAAGCATGGCTATACTATTTATTAAAAGAAAATTTAAAAAATAGGACCTTCCTAGTTTTTGTACTTTATAGATATTAATTTGTTGGTTTCAACACATCTAAAGTACATATTCAAGAGAGAGAAATTTCATAGTAAATCAAAGGGATGTATTATTGAAAAATACGTACGTACGTGTATAATACGAGTATTAAATGTGAAAATGCTAAATTATTTATACGGGTAATAACTCTGGAAAAGTACAAAAATCAAAAGGGAATAATAGATACTCGGGTAATGGCCTAATAGTAATGGATAATGCTCTAAACTACTCTTATCGATAAACGAAAATCGGGAGTCAAGAAAATATATTTTGTGCACTCAACTAGACCCTTCGTCTCTTTCTCGTCTCAATCATGGAAAAACATTCCCTAGGTTAACCCTCCCTTCTCATTTCTCTTACAAGCATGACGTGATAGGACTCCTCCCCCTCCTCTCTCTTCCTTTCTCAATCTCTCTCGCTCCTAGCTTGCTACTCTCTTTGTGGAGAAAGCTTGATTGGATTGTGGAGAAGGTGGAGTTTAGGGGGTGGGGACTTTAGATATGTATCCAGATCTAATTGGATCTTGGATTTTCTGGCCAGATCTGTTTCGATCTTGGGTTTGGTGGGTTTTTTTGTGTGTTCTTGTTGTAGGTACTTGGTTTGGCTATGACTCCAACTGTAGCGGTGATAGTGCTGGCATTGATGGCACCGACGACGACGACTTTATGGGTATTCTTTTCGAGTTTGCTTTCTTTCCAACCATAGTCATGGGTTGGGGTTGGCTGCTGCTGGTTTTCAACTTATGTTTTGGTCCAATAAGTGCATCAACTCTGTTGAGTTTGATGCGTGGTTGTGGTTTCTCTTCACGAGAATTTGGGTTTGTAAGTTGCGTTATGGGTGATGAACTCGGTTATTATAGATTTGTTGTACCATATAAGTTTGTTGTTGTGATTAGATCCGTTCGTGTTTGGTGCAACCCTTCAGGGGCATTTGTTCTAGCCCTTGAGCCTTTTGTATTTGTAATGCACTTATGGCATAATTTATAAATGCAATCTCCATATCATTTGGCACCAAAAAAAAAAAAAGATAAACGAAAATCGGTGGATTTTTTTTTTTTTTTTAAAAGATCCCGTTATATATATAGTATAGATGCTCGACTATACTATTTATTAAAAACAAGTTTTTTTTTTAAAAAGCCCCAGTAAAGCCGTTGGCTATACTATTTTAATTAATAAATAGATAAAAAGGGACCTACATAGCGCCTAGGCGCCCACGTGTCTAAAAAGGTATCACTGCGCGGCTATACTATTCTTTATTATAAAAAGACCGTAGTATATCCGCACGGCTATACTCTTAAAATATAGACTTATTTACTGTAGTGCCCCCTGAAACTATAGTCAAATCTCACTTTACCCCCTTAAAGGTTAAAGTGACCCAAAGTACCCTCTTGACTATAAGGTTTGGCGGTTCACTTTGGCCCCCATTTTTAACTCTATTAAAAATTCAGTTAAAAACACTGATGTGGCACAAATAGGACCTATTCTTTTGTTAAAATATATGCTGTAAGTGCCACATGTGAAAAAAAAATATATATATTATATACTAAAAAAATTAGAAAAATACATTACTTCTCCCTCCCCTTCTCTCTTTCTCTATACCTGACTCTCTCCCCCACCAACCTACTTGGGGCAGCCATCCCTGCCCCACCCCCTCCCCACCAGCTCCTCCCCTCCATCTTCTCCGCACCAATCCTCAAAACCACTCCTATATACTAAAAAAATTAGAAAAATACATTACTTCTCCCTCCCCTTCTCTCTTTCTCTATACCTGACTCTCTCCCCCACCAACCTACTTGGGGCAGCCATCCCTGCCCCACCCCCTCCCCACCAGCTCCTCCCCTCCATCTTCTCCGCCCCAATCCTCAAAACCACTCCTTCCCCAACCAAACCCACCTCCAAAATCTCAACTTCCTGTTGAGATTTTATTGCCTACCAAATAGAACCCAAAAACTCCAATAATTTTCTAAACCCTAAAACAAAAACAAAATTTAATTTATAAACAAAAGGAGCGCCCCAACCCTCTTGGTTGTGATTTCTTGAATGATTTTGGGTATTATCCCTCTTGATTTGTTCTTGTACTCCATCCACAGTGCGAGTCGGTGTGCTCCAGCGCCATTTGGAAGGAGTGGTTTTGGGGTGGCTAAGCCGATTAGAGTGAGGGGAGGAGTTGGTGGGGCAGTGATGGCTACCCCAAGTGGGTTGGTGGGGGAGGTGGTCAGGACTCAGGTAGAGAGAAAGAAAGAGGGAGAGATAAGAGAGAAGTAATGTAAATTTTTTTCTTTTCTATTTGTTAAAATTTTTAAATAATTTTTTTTTATTGTTATTTTACATGTGACACTTAGGTGACATATATTTCAACAAAAGAGTGGGTCTCATTTGTGCCACATCAGCGTTTTTAACATCATTTTTAACAAAGTTAATAGTGGGGGCAAAGTGAACCATCAAACCTTGGTCAAGGGGGTACTCTGGGTCACTTTAACTTTTAGGGGATAAAATGAGATTTGACCATAGTTTCAGGGGGCACTACAGTAAATAAGCCTAAAATTATGGTATAGCCACACGGCTATACTATTTATTAAAAGAAAAAAAAGGACCTTCATAATTGCATTTATACTTTATAGATATTCATTTGCTAGTTTCAACATATCTAAAGCATATATTGATGAGAGACAAATTCCACAGTAAATCAATCTGAGAGTTCAATTTTTTCTTCTTCTTTTTTTGTGGGAATATTTGCCTTTGATCTACTTCGTTCTCTCGAGTGCTACTAAATTATGTTATTGCATACATTATTTGTCCTAGAGAACTGCATTTTGAGTTGGAGTGTTCTTGGTAATTGCTTCACTTTTCAAACAACACTTTACATGAAAAATACTACCACTCTTTTACTACTATAACCATAAATCTTTGTTTGAAATTCTTGTTCTGGTTGGCAAAGAGATTGCAAAATCACCATATTGCATTTTTGTTACAACAAGTAAGAAGTAATCTTAGCCTCTCACATTCTTTCATAGTTAGTAAAATATGGAATGGAAAAAGTACGAATAAAATACTTATGTGCTTTATTCGGCAAAATTTTGGCAAATTACAACTGAAAATTCGGCCACTATATAATATTTTTCAATAATATATTAAAATTTTAAATATATATTATTTTTATTCAATAATATGTGAAAATTATGTGCATAATAATACATGAATTTTACTGAGTCTTTAAGACGTGTACAGAAAATGGATGTATTATTGAAAAATACGTACGTACGTGTATAACACGAGTATTAAACGTGAAAATGTTGAATTCTTGCCGCGCGGTTATACAATTTTTAAATAAATCCGAGTATAGCCGTGTGGCTCTACTATTTATTAAAAATAATAATAAAAAAAGGGCCTTCCTAGTTTTTATACTTTATAGATAATAATTTGTGGGAATGTTTTCCTTTGATCTACCACGTTCTCTCGAGTGTTATTAAATTCGGTTATTGCACACATTATTTGTCATAAAGAATTGCATCCTGGGTTGGAGTGTTCTTGGTAATTATTGCTTTAATTTTCAAACAACACTTTATATAAAGAATAACATCTCTTACTACTATACCCATAAATCTTTGTTTGAAAACAACACCCACACCTTTAGGTAGAAAGCAACATCAAAGACATTGAATCCTTTTACTGTAATACATTAAATTGGTAGTGAAAAAAATGCAGTAGATGCTGAATCACATAATTGTTAAGTCACTTAACTGGTTTTGACTTTTGAGACCACAAAAAAAAAAAAGAAAAAAAAAAAGAAGGTTAAGTGGGCCGGGCTTGGGCAGTGCTTGAAGCGGGCTCGAGCAAGCCCGGCCCATGTCGGGCCATGGGTCAGCTCGGTGCATTGGACTGTTAGAAATATGCCATTAAAACCAACTAATTATGTAATAATTAGAGTTAAGGACATCTTTGATAAAAAGACATATTATGTTATCAATGGGCAAGAAAGGTTGTTTTATACATTAAATCATCCTATATTCATCTTTCAATATGTAGGGAATGACAAGGTCTCAAGTCATTAAGTGTGGAGACACATCGATATGTGTGTAGGTGCTTGTAGAAGAACAAGTACACTGAACGCGATCCAACGCATGAGTTACAATGGAAGTCTTTACTCACATGTCAAGCTAGAACTCATAAATTGCAATAGTGCAAACTAATCCTTAGACCTGAGGCATCATAGATGTTTTGTGGCTATATTGTTAATCTTTGAAGGCACTATACGGTCATGCTGAATTAGACATAGTTTAAAGGTGCTCATCAGGATTCTCAATAGAGTCATGGAAGCAAATGAATGTACAACAAGGAATCTCTACTATTAGTAAAGGAGAAAGAATACTCCAAGATATGATTGGTCAAATCTCTGCGCAGAGTAGTGGATAAGACTTGAAAGAAGAAGCCCTCAAATCTTACCAGGATAATCATATAAAAGGAATGATTCACATTAGGATATTGACAATCGGATTCCATGATCTAATAATGTTTGACAATCGGATTCCATGATCTAATAATGTGAGTAAGGAGTATTGATATAAGAGAAGGATTCAATTGCACACGGTCATTCCAATTTGAATAGGTTCTTTCACAACGTCTCATTTAGCCCAGTGAACCGTGACTTGCTGTTAGGCGACAACCATGGTTTGTGGATGTCCTAAAAGGTTTCAATTAACCTTTATTAATAGGAGAAAGAATTTAATTGTGGAATTTAATTCGTATATCATCTCTGAGGAGTTGCGTCAACCCACTACCTTGCTAAAGGGAACTTACGGATACACACACCCAAAGAATGTGATTAGAGGTACAAATGAGGAGAAATGAAATGAAATGAAATCAGTTTTCGTTTAAGATGGAGTAACCACGTTGGTTTATTTTAACTAATTGTCTTGAAAGTGTTTCTGCACAACGGTAAGTTAATATACTATGTTGTTATTGGTCTATGTTACGGCGCTTCATGGGTAAATTGTGCCATGTTATCTCCGTAAGACGATGAGAAGCTTAGAAAAGCGTCATCTAAGCTTATTGAAGTTGGCCTGAAGTTGGCCTTTTGGTTGTATTTTTATTAATTAGACGTCGATTTTAGTTGGAGATGACGTAGTATGTGGTAACAACATCCGTTTATCGTCGTGGTTTTATCCATCAAAAGATGGCGGTCAATTTCACAACGGTTTAAAATCCCGTTGTTTATTTCGTTTTTGTAATAGTGCCATCTTGCATTTTTATTACAACAAGTAAGAAGTAATCTTAGCCTCTCACATTCTTTCATAGTTAGTAAAATACGGAACGGGAAAAATACGAATAAAATACATATGTGCTTTATTCGGCAAAATTTTGGCAAATTACAATTGAAAATTCTGGCCCCTATGGCTTGTCCGTCATTATGGTGCAGGGTGTCCTGCAAAAGAAAGATTGAAGGGAAAATTCCTAAGGGAATCCACAAGGCTGAGCGGGAGAAACAGAAGCGGGAGCATTATAGCGAGCTTTTCTTTGACCTGGCTGATGCTCTTGGTAACTTGTCTTTTATTTACGAGAACTCCGCTATGATTTTTCTTAATAATTTTTTGATGGGGGTTTCACTAAAACACCTAAAATGGGAGCTGAAATTATAAAAAAACCCAACACCCAAAACATTTTATAAACATACCCAAAACCCATCATTACACACACTCAAAACTCATTTATAAACACACCCAAAAAATATACAATTATTGATTTTGGGGTTGATTTTGGGTGTGTTTCTATGTTTAAATAGTGTGTGGGTTTTTTTTACTTCCTGAAATCCTAACAAAAAGAAAAAGCACGGCATTACAAACTGACATAAAGGAAGAAAAAAAACATGTTGAAAAGTGGATTAGAATAACATGACTTATCCAAACATTACAATAATCACAATGACAAGAAAAGATCATGATAGTAATCATCAGTAATAATAAGAAATAATATAAAGTAATAATATCAACAGGCAAACGATACATTACAGAACAAAGGAGAGAATCAATGGAAGCATGCATTCTAATATTGAGTTCCAGAATCAGATATTCAAACGACATATATTAAATTAATCAATTCTATTAGATATCATGAAGTTGTAGACAAATAGAAAAAACAGAAGCATTGTTTCACAAAACCAATAGAATAAAGCCTTCAAGGCTTAATGTTTGGGTGCCAGCAGACCTCAATGGAGCGTAATTTCAGTGCCTGGTTTTCATCATCAGACTGTTTAAGCTTTTGTAGTCTCCCCTGCTCTAGATTCAGAGCACTTTCTGCTGCCTTGAGTATGTTACCTGCCATTAAATTGCCCAGTTCATGTATCAGATGGTGGAAAACTTTTGGAAAGAAACAATTGAAAAGCCCATGAAAAGAAAGAGGTGCAAGAAAGTTCTTTTATTTCCCATTTATAGGAGAAATACCTGCCTGGGAAGTGGGAACCAGTTATGGGGTATCAAAGACAGGATACATGCCTAAAGAGGAATTCAACATGAATTCAAGCAAAGAAAAATTTTGCATCGCAAATGAGTAGAAATGGTTAACCACGATTAATTGAGATAGCATAGGTTAGTAGTCGAGCATGTAAGACAAATGCAATGAAAAGTATATACAATGAGCATGTTGGGGTGGAACAACTTGAAATGCAAAAAAAACCTTTCGGACACATTAGCAAAGAATATTGAAAGCAGTACCATAAAGAGGCCATTGCATGCACACCATATCTAGAAACTTACCAACAAAACAGTAATTATATAAAAAGGCCAATCAAAAAGACCTCAGCTTCCTTTAGCTCGTTCTTGTCTTGTCGAAGTTTTTCCTCTTGCAGAGAATTTTCCTTTCTTTTAGCATCTTCATAAGCTCCATCAATTCTTATTTTTCTTTCTTCTATTTGAGATCTGACTTCATGGTCTCGCTGGACAGCAGCCAAGTGATTATTAAGTGCTTCTGCTCTGCAAGTGATTTAATAATTGTATTATCAATTAGATTAACCGGCAGAGATATTACTGAAACCAAGAAAGAATAAATGAAAGTTGAATTAAGCATTCAGATTTTAAGTTCTCCTTCATATAAAATTTTATATTATGTCCCATAAAAAATATGTTTCCAAACAAAGCTGATCACAAGTAAAGTTATAATCTGGCCAATGGCCAAAAGAGAAAAAGAACAATTTTAGTAACAATATGTAGATAGACATTTAAAAGACGCTCCCACAGGATTTCAGAACAGAATAGAATCAGAAAGCTTAAAGAGTGATATGAAGACTTGCTTATTATTGTTGTCCGAAAAAAATCAAGATTTCAAACATAATAAAGCATGGGCTTCTCTACTACCTCTAATAACTGAACTAAACTGATCATCATCCACGATGCAAAGCTGTATATGGAAACATCTACTTACAGAGGTTCCTATCTTGTCTTTGAAAACAAGGTCATCATCCACTAAACTTTGGATCACATCTTTTACAGATTGAGAAATAACACCTTTCTTTGGGCCTGACTTCTCAAGCTCCTTTAGCTAAAATCACCAATAAACATATAAACAGAGCTGTAGAAGTACAATATAAGCTGAAAACATTGACATTGTTCACAATGACAAAGAGATTAACCACATTTGAAATTACAGAACTCAATTGAAATCAATTCGAATAGGGTTCGCAAATTAAAATTACAAAAAATTGAATGAATTCATTAAAATTATAGCATTAGGGCGTGATAATACTCACAAGGAAGAAATCTTGAGAGTCGTAAAAGATTTGAAGCATCTTCTCACGCTTCTCATCCACTAGAGAGATGGCGAGCTTGGCAAGCTCGATGAGATGGATGGGGCGAGCTCGGTGACCTAGATAGCGCAAGGGAGATGGCGATCTCGGCGAGTTCCATTACGTGGATGGCACGAGGGGAGATGGTGCTTCAGATATGTAATAGAGATATGAGATTGGAGGCAGAGCTCGGAGACGACGACAACCAAGGGGCTAAAGATGGGTCGCAAACAGTGACCTGTGTCGGCGAGCTCGGTGACGACCACAGAGAACAAATGGGAGGGAGATTCAGAGAGTTGAGGGTTTCGATTTTCAGAAGGAGGGAGATTCAGAGAGTTTAGGGTTTCGATTTTCAGAAGGAGGGAGAGAGAGGGATGTTCCATTTTCAAAAGGAGGGCGAATTCTGAAATGTTTTGGTCGAGGGTGAATAACTTAAGTGTCCTTTTGTTTTAGCGTGTTTTCAAAGGACGACGTTTGTCAATTCCACACTGTAGTGTTTTTAAAATCAACTGCTTTTAGTGGTGTACTAGATTACATACCACGACTGTTTTAAAAAAAACTGTCGTTTTTTGAAATACAATGACGGTTTTTAGATTAACTGTCGTCGAGCTTGTGTCGTTGTTTAACAATTTTGTAGTAGTGAATCTATTTTTTGATATGGTGGTGGGTAATGCCTTCGTCTTCTTGCGCTCATTCTAGTAATTGGTTTGTTTGACTATTTTACGCGGAAGCTACTATGGATAATAAACAGATATTGAGACATTTACAAACATATACTGCCTAATAAAGCAGCGCAATATTGCCAACATGTCACATAGGGTTGGAGGGTCTTCAATGGCAAATGGTTTTTGATTTAGGCAAAGATCTTCTAATTAAAATGATAAACATAAAAAATAATAATAATAATAATAATAATATTAAAAAAAAACCCTTATAAGCTACTAAGGGTTTGTTTAAAGTAGCATGCCACACAGTACATTTCAGCTCAGCAAAATCTATAGTTTCTCCAAATGTGTGTACAAAAGCTCCAAAAACCCAGGAAACAGCCTCTGAACACCACGGTCGACATCTACGATATTAACCGTCAAAGCCTTTAGTTGATAATAATGATTATACAAATTCCTCAAGTACCTAAGAAGCTCCATCACTTCCCCAGAGTAGTTGCCAGAATTATGGTCATAAACTCCTTTCATAAATTTATTCATGTTACTAAGAACTGGAGTACGGTTCCAAGATTTGAAATGATCAAAATCGGATGATCGCAAAGCTTTTTCCACAGCTTTATGTTTACCAACAATGGCCCACTTACGATGATAACGGGCAAACATACCCATCCTTTCTTCAGAGCTTAACAAGAACGGATGAGATATCAATTTCTCTACAAACTCAGGATAGCTGAAAATGCCAAAAGAACATCCTCTAAGAAATGAAGTAGGAAGAAGAAAGAAAAAAGTTAAAAGTAGTAGAGAACTCACTCCAAACACTCAGCATGGTCGAAGAACTTCAAGAAGTTACTACATTCCTTCCATGAATATTTAGACCCCAAAATTTTCTTGAACACGACATCTAACATCATCCTAAGTTGCATTAAATCTTTTTTCTTTTTATCGTCTTGTTCACTGAGACTCAAGTCAGCCAAAGATCCCACAACGTTTATTACTTTCAGCTTGTCATGAAAAAACACAAAACTAGACTGCTTATGCAAACCATCATGGAATAAGCCCTTAGCATGAATGCTACGCACACCACGAATCAGATCCCTACATAAGTACAAAATAACTGTCAAAAATAATTAAAACGAAAAACTAAACAGTAACCTTATAGAATTATTTATTTATTTACCAAAGTAACCTTATAGAATTAAAACTAACAAATTACCCAATGGATGTACGCCAAAAGTCTTGAAGACGGTCATCAGGAGTCCGGAGTGGTAATTTAAGCTGATCATCATAAGGAACAATTTCTTTCGACTGAACCTTGTCGGCCCAATCTTTGAGAGGTTCAAAACGATCATAACAAACACACGATACACCCTTCCTTATCTCTATGTGATCAGGCAGTTTGGGAAAGCACTTCTGCTTGATGAACAAATCCTTACGAGGCCGTAAAACCACATCAGCACCAACTTCACAAGTCCTGTGAAAAATTAATTCTGCCCTACTAGCAGCATCTATCCCATCAACTCCGTCAACTTTTACAAATATCACAGGTATCGGTTTCCCATCACGTTTGAAAGACAAAGATCCTGTATACCATTCTTCTAATTTATTGTAATCAAATGACAAACTGTAAGAACAAACCCTCGGTCCAATAACCTTGTCATGTGAATCATTCCTGTCATACTCATCTTTTGCAAATTTAAAGAACTCTGTCTGTTCCTCCATTTCAAAAAATTAACAATAAAAGAAATCTGCAAGAAAACCAGTATGGTAATTACAATATAGCTAGCAGTCAAACAATTCCGCTAACAAGATGAGACGGAAAAAGATGTTTTCTTAAACGAAAACTGGAACTTTAATTTTGCAGAGTTCAAATCACCATAGGGAAAAAGACCTTTCTTCTGCAACCAAATTTGTAAATATATATGCAGAAAATCCAACACTACTTTGGCAGAATATTTAACAACATACCTGAATTTGGCAGACGCTCCAATTCAAGGAAATCTAAAATAAAAAATAATTCACAAAAATTCGAATAGGTTAGATTGGAAACCAAGAAAGAAGAGACAACAGAAAAGAGGGAAACAATAGACCACAGCAACAATCGAAACTGAGAAAGCAATAGACAACAGTCAATCTGGACAAGCCAACAAAGAGTCCCACAACAGCTTCCTGTACCAGACACAAAACAGATAAAACACTCGGCATGATGCAATTTTTATTGTTTGTTATAACAGTTATTCCCAGAATTAAATCTTTATGCCTCATGAATCAACCAAGGAATCTACGGTTTCAAATTTTCATGTCGTGGTAAGGATTATGAAGGCATATGTTTTCATCAATCACAAAGGTGTGCCATGAATCTCTTGAGTGGCGTGCGATATTTATGAAAGGCTGGTGGGATTGTGAGCAACAGAGGCACTCGTTCATCATGAGGCAGTGCGAGGCAACCAGGTGGTGAGGTAAGCGGTGCGTCGACGAGCAGAAAGTTGGATGGTGGAGGAATATGGTGGTCATGCAGACACAACCAATTGTTGGGGTTTAGGATTACACTCATTATTCTTGTTTTAATATTTTATTTAAAAAATTTAAATTAGTTATCTTACAATTTAATTAGTTTAAATTTAATGACTTGACTTGAGGCATGTTATTCGAGACTCAAATTTAGTATTCGTAGCATTATTGGTTTGATAAAGATGTATTGTTGGTGGACCAATGTTCAAAAGACAAAAACTACTCATAGTTCAAAAGAAAACAGGTAAAGATGTATTGTTGGTCAATTCAAAAGACCAAAAACGACTCAGTTCAAAAGAAACTATAACAAAAGGTAGATCATGAATGAGAAAACATATGGTAACCTAACCTTTGATTATCGTAGACAATAAAGCAAAAACGATATGGATTCAATGACAGATCCAAAAAAAGATATTGCATCAAAGAGAGATCCAAGAGGAAGAGCCGCATGTAAATTATATAGGGTTTGAACAAAATCACTTACTGAACTGGCCCTAAAACAAGAATCTCATAAAACAAGTAACAAACTCAATGATTATAAAAAGGGTAACAAAAAACATTGCATGAGCAAATAAGTAACACTGACAAATTCTGATACTAAAGCTGTAGAAATTTTTAAAAAGAGAAACTAAAAAGAATAAAGAAATCAATACTTAGCCAAAATATTTTTCACTGAATTACATAAATACAATTAAAAACCGAAATACTAAAAAGTTCTTTCAGAAAAACCCATATTTATTAGGCCTTGAAACGGGTAACAAACTTTTATGTCGGTTCATATTTTATGAGTTGTGTGGTATAAGAGAACTAGTTATTATATATAAATATATTTTAAAAGAAAAAAAGAATACCAGCCTCAAGAATTTTACACGAGTTAGAAACTTTCCTCATATCACACACCCCCAAGCAATCATAATAAAACTCCCCTCTACAGCGGCATCCCCAAACCCTAAATTTTCCCTTGGGCCTCAATTTAGTATTTCAATAGCGAAAAACGACTCAGTTCAAAAGAAAAAAAACAAAAACTACTCAATGTTCAGAAGAAACTATAACAAAAGGTAGATCATGAATGAGAAAACATATGGTAACCTAACCTTTGATTATTGTAGACAATGAAGCAAAAACGATATGGATTCAATGACAGATCCAACGATACCTTTGATTAAGAAGAGCGAAGCAAAAAAAGATATTGACTCAAAGAGAGATCCAAGAGGAAGAGCCGCATGTAAATTATATAGGGTTTGAACTAAATCACTTACTGAACTGGCCCTAAAACAAGAATCTCATAAAACAAGTAACAAACTCAATGATTATAAAAAGGGTAACAAAAAACATTGCATGAGCAAATAAGTAACACTGACAAATTCTGATACTAAAGCTGTAGAAATTTTTAAAAAGAGAAACTAAAAAGAATAAAGAAATCAATACTTAGCCAAAATATTTTTCACTGAATTACATAAATACAATTAAAAACCGAAATACTAAAAAGTTCTTTCAGAAAAACCCATATTTATTAGGCCTTGAAACGGGTAACAAACTTTTATGTCGGTTCATATTTTATGAGTTGTGTGGTATAAGAGAACTAGTTATTATATATAAATATATTTTAAAAGAAAAAAAGAATACCAGCCTCAAGAATTTTACACGAGTTAGAAACTTTCCTCATATCACACACCCCCAAGCAATCATAATAAAACTCCCCTCTACAGCGGCATCCCCAAACCCTAAATTTTCCCTTGGGCCTCAATTTAGTATTTCAATAGCGAACGCCTTATCATCTGTTATCATGGGGTATCGGAAAATATCTCAGCTTTGCGCCGCCGCCGCTGACCTCACCTTGGGTCAAGACCATGCCTTGACGATGGCTTCACACGAAGATGAGCTCCTGCGCAAGATATCAGAGATCGAGAAATCCCTAGCCGCACTTTCCACCCAGCAGATCCAACTGGTCGATTTGAAGAAATCAATATCGGATGAGCTTGACCTACTACGCGCCAGTAGGGCTCACAGTCACAAACATGGGGCTGTTCATCCTTACCCAAGGTCAGTGCATGGCTTAGTGGATTTCATCTTATCTTCTTAATTTTTGTTTCTCTGTAAAACTGTTGTTTTTCTTGATTCGCCTTTATGTTTTTTTGTTATGAACTTTTTCGACTTGTTTTAAAAATTCAATTGGCTTGTTCTATATATCTATTCTCTGTCCAGATTGCCCATGGAGAGGGAGTCATCAATGACGGTAAATCAGGGGGAACACAGATCTGTGTTTTTAATGATAATTTTCAGTAAGGGAAACATAGGTGCCCTATATGAAGTTAAATTCAAATACGGGGGGGGAGAAGTTGATGATATGGACGGACGAGCCGCACTTGAACCTGTAGTCAAGTTCCCTTGTTTTAACGAGTGTGCAAGGATTTTCAACCGCTCCCAACTATACGTATTCACAGAGGATGGTTGCATTAGGTCATTCGACACGAAAACTAGGGAATTAGATCCCTCCATACCTCCTACCTTAGAGTTGAAGCCGAGTGGAACAGTTGCGTCTGCATATGACAGACTCTATTTTCTTGAAGAAGCATCGCCCTTCATAGCAGATCCGCTTCCATCTTTTGCGAAATACAATCCTGATGAGAACGATTGGGAGCAAATGCCTCAGTTTCCAATTCGTTATCCTTATCCTATGTGGGTAACTGGTTATGCTGTTTGTTATGGACTTATTTTGTATACACTAATTGACGGACACGAAAACTCTGATGTCGTTGCTTTTCATGTGGGTGGAATGAATTGGATTCGAGTGAAAGTTGACACTTGTGATTATACTCCTTTCCGAGGGAGGGCCGTGGTTGTAGGCAAGACTATATATGCCTTGGATCTATATCAAGTGGATGAGATTATAGCATTCTCCTTGAAGATGAACAAACGCGACGACGGTAGTATTGCATACACACTAATCAAGCTGTGTAAATTGGATGGCCTGAAGATTGCGTCTCCACCATGTCCATTTGATTCGCTTGAGAGTGACTATTTTGTCCATTTGGGGAACCAAGACTTTTTTCATGTTAAGACCGGCACTAATTATGAATTTTACAAGGTTCAACATATTTGTATCACCACTTTTCAAATATTTGTTCGAGAAGACGGAATACATATGATCAAGACCTTACATTCATCTGTTCTTCCTATGGATATCCAGACTTGTGGCAGGTTCATGCTCACGTTCGGCTTCACTTCGTAAGTTCTCTTCACCTTTATTGTGTTTTCATCAATGACATTAATTTGTACGTTGGATTCTATTATAGTTTGTATGTATCAAAACCCTTCTAAATGTAGTTTTTGGTGATTATGGCTCTCAGAGAGTGCGAGGATTATGAACTCATAGAAGGGGAGAGTGCAGCTAGCATGAAGCAGCCCAAACAAGAAGATGAAACCACTATCGAAGAGAATTATTTGATGTGTGTGAGGTGAAAGAAATGTGCTTACATGAAATCTTTTTATTTATTTAATGACAGTGATTGAAAGAAACGATGTTATTGATTGTTATATTGATTGTTATATTTAGTTGATTGAAAGAAATGGATATTGCAGATAGAAGCCAAGGAGGAAATAGGCCCTGGACAGCATGAGAAAGCCAACCAGAAAAAAAAAAAACCCAAGGACTGCAAACGGAAAAATAAAAACAAAAAAATAGAAAAGAAAGAAGAAGCGGATGGAAGGAGGGGACATGTAGTAGAAATAACATGTTATTGATTGTTATATTTAGGTGATAGTTGATATGATACATTTGATTTGATCTCTCCAATTCTTTTTTCTTTTAAAACTAAGCATTCACAAAGCGAGTGCAAAATAAGACATGGTATGTGATGCGTAAGAATTTGATGTGTGTACGTGTGTGTTGATTGTTGCGTTGCATAGAAGAATGTAGGTGTATGCACAGGTTTCAACTTTGCTGCTCAAGAAATTGACATTATGAAAAGTTCACTAGCATATATATCATAAGGCTTACAAAATCTCACATTATGATACTGTGTCATACGCTTAATCGCAAACATATATTACAAGGCTTACAAAATCTCACATTATGATACTGTCATACGCATGCCTTGCCTCCTTGTGGAGGCCACAAGTCCTCCCAGCCAATAAGTGATAAGTCTCTTTGTTGTAAAAGGACCTGTTTATATTTTCAAATGGGAAAAACAAGATGTCATGTTGCCCAGATGCTAAACCCAACCATTTTTTATGTAAAAATAATAACGATTATTTGACCAAAAGACGGAAAAAAGAAGAAGATTTATATTAGTCAAAATGCTTGCAGTGTTATTGAAAACTAGTGTTTGGTAGTGACTGGTGAAAGTGAGCTCTTGAGAGGGACCATGAAAGTCTTGCAAAGCCAGCTCTTACTTAGACCTTTCAGAGACAGCTTTTTCGGTTGTCCTGTGCAGAACCATTTCAATAAGGTTTGCGTGGAACAGCATCAGCCTGCATCGCCATGAATGTAACAACTTGGAGTCAAGTCAATCGTCTGCATGGATAATTCAAGGAGTGGGTTTTCTTTCATGTGTATCGCTCTGAATTGTTCCAGTCAGACTCGTGCCATTGATCTAGCTAGCTACCTTTGTCCCATTAAGCCTTTAAGTCTTGAACCAGATTATAAGCCATGGATCAACACCATAAACATCCTTGTCAAACAAACCATTCAAAGTGAGAGATCAACCAAAGAAGTCGTAAACATTCTAGTCAAATACTCGTGCCATTGATCTAGCTAGCTAGCTTTTTCATCAGTTTCACCACATTCTCAAAACTTAATTTTCGGTGCCCAAAAAAAAAACAGATCATATGCTGAGAAATTATAATTATAATTCTAAAATCTGCATAAACTTTAAGTCATTCATAAAATTTGGCAAAACTAGTTAAATTAATAGTGCACATAATTTCAATCATACTTGTGCATGCATTGCTGATATAATTCACACTTAAATTTTTCTTTAAATTTGGTATCTCAGCTCATACCACTTGAGTTTTTGTTCAGAGGCCATGTATTAGACATCCTAAACGTCAATATTTAATTTTATTTTCTTCTATATATGAAACTTCATAAACATAAAAGTAAACGACATATACACATTGCATTCGTGTCTGCATATCGTTTATTCAAAGATGTGGATTCCCTTCCTTCCTTGGGTATTATGGCGCATACACCACTAGGCACTAGCTAACTCAGACTTTATGCAAAATCCAATCCCAGACAAAGACTTGGAAAACAAACAAAGAAATTACAGGCTTACAGCCAAAGTTGACAGACTAGGCTAACTGCTCTCTTAGCTACAAGTGAACCACTGTGGAATCTATATGGTCCCAACTGTTTGGAAAATTATTGTATGTGTGAAAACAGAGAAGGAATTCAAGAGAGTTGGGAAATTAATTACTAGAATTTGATATTAGCAACCTATACTTGCTGCAAAATAGGCAATTAAGCATCAAACTTTTGGGTACTTAAGCAACAAAGTTAAGTGATCTTGCCTGGGTTTATAAGGAGTTGGGCTACTCTACCCATTGTCAATTGGTTTTGGGGTGGAACCTCAACTTTCCTTCATGGTATAACTGCCCCTCATCCTTAATTAGATGTCATGTTGATGTCTTTGTTTGTATCGTTGAAGTCTATCTAATGATTTCTTGATAAATAAATAAAATAAGTTGGTCGTGCCTTATTCTTTATTTTAGGCACCATTTGAAATGATTAGTAATGGAAAATTCTTAATTAGTCCCGAATGTCATTATAAAGATACTATTTCTGTTTATGTCTCTAAGAAAAGGTCCCTATAGGGCTATTTTCTACTAGTGCAATTGACTTTTTTTTAGTATAAGAGTAAATGAATAATGCCAAACAAATTTTAGTATTCAAAATCCTAAACATGAGATTATTTTTGTCGTCTATATTTAACACATGACTCACACCTTCTAGTTCTCATAACATATATTTCACTTTCACAGTTTCCGAACACTCGGAATTTAGGAAGTCGTGACTCGAAAATACATAATAAAATATGACTTCTCTGAAGATATGGAAAACCCAATAATATTGCTAATCTTGTTACATTTGATTAAATTTCTCTGTAATTGTTTTTTTTGTTTTTTGTTGTTGCCAAAGTTAGGAACGGGCATGGGAAAACTCGCACACACGAGTACCATGGGGGTTTGAACCCATAACCACTTGGGAGCACACCAAAAACTTGGGCTAATCCAAACTAACACCCCATTGTCACAGTAATTGTTTGATCCAACTACCAAACTGTTTCTTGATATACATTATGAGGTTGCTTGGACAGTAATTAATCAAAATTATTGTAGCAAACAGCTAGGAAAGAAGAAATTTGTAAATTCGTCTAGAAATACATTATAAAAACCATATATCAAAACAAATACAAGGCTCAAATACGTCCCCTCCTCCTGTTGATCCTCTTGGCTGCCTCCACAAACCAGTCATGCTTCTTGCTTGTCCAAATGTCCCCAGAAATCAGTCCGATTATTAGACCACTAATAATTCCCGGCAGAACCACGTACCAGTCTAGTTCAATTTGAAACCCAGAGTCTTCATCTTCTTCAAAGATTGATGACGGTAGCGGTCTTGAGCTCTCACATTTCTTTGACAAAGGCTTTCCACACAAACCTGAGTTTCCAACATAGGAATCTTCTAGGAATGTACCAAATTGTTGGCCGAGTGGTATAGGCCCCCAAATATGGTTATGGGAGACATTGAAATATGCAAGGAAATTGAGTTGTGCCAAATCACCGGGGATCCTTCCTGTGAGCTGATTTTGAGAGAGATCTAACGATTCAAGAGTTGTCAAGTTCGCTAAAGATGAGGGGATGAGACCAGTGAGAGTGTTGTTGGAAAGGCTAAGGATACGAACGCCTCTTAGATTCCCAATGATACCTGCTGGAATCTCTCCTTCAAATCTATTACTTGAGAAATCTATCAATCTTAAAAGATAAGGGGTTGCAAAATATTTCAACTCAACACCTTTTGCAAAAGTTGTGATTGAGTATGGAACAACGTAGGAATTGTCTAAGTGCTTATCTGAGCTATCTGGCTCCGAAGAGACTTGAAAATAAATTTGGTGGTTCTCATCATCAACAAATTTCATGGAATTCCAATTCTCTAAGTAGTTAGAGGGCAGCATTCCTGAAAAACCATTGTTAGATAAATCAATGATGCACAGCTTTGGGAAGTCATGGTTGGTTGCAGACTTCCCAATCATGCCATGAAATCCATTATACCTCAAAATGAGTGCCCTTAATGCTGGAAGTGCCCCTAACCAAGATGGGAAGATGTCGCTTATCTGATTGCTTCCAAGGTTAAGAAGCTCTAACTTAGTGCAATTGGCCATTGATCTTGGCACCTTCCCCTGTAACTGATTGTAACTTAAATCAACCATTTTCAAACTATTTTCGCCTGGACATATTTGAGGAATACTGCCGTGAAAAGAATTGTGGTGCAGGTCCAATATTTCCAGAGAGCTGGAGTTCCCCAAACACTTTGGAAGCATGCCACTCAGGCTGTTGTTGGACAAGTCAAGAGCATGTAAATGATTCAAGTTGCAGAAGGAGCGCGAAATATCTCCACTATAATTATTGTCTCTGACAACATAGTTTCTGATTGATAGTGGTGGAATTGGCAATGATCCGTGTAACATATTGGACTGGAGATCCAAAGAATTTAGATTCTGCCATGGGAGAATGACTGGATTTTGCTCAAATCCTGTCAAGAAGTTATAAGAGAGGTAGAGAGCGAACAATGTTTCTCTAGTTGCGTTCCACACCCATTTTGGTATTTGCCCAAGGATGCTGTTGTTACGAAGGTCCAGGTACAACAATTCGTGTTGATTTTTTAAAAATTATGGAAACTCTGTTAAGTTGCACGAAATCAACTCTAGAGCTTGAAGCTGTGGAAAAGTAGCACCCAAATTGGGTTTGCTCTGCAACAGAGATAACTTGTTGTATGATAATCGCAGGAACTTCAACTTTTAGAGCTTGGAAAACTGATCAAACTCAACAAACCCACTCAAGTTACTAGAGGAAAGGTCAAGATATTCAGGATTTTTGAGCTGAAAGAGCGACCCAGGAATTTCTCCTTGGAAATTGTTACCCATGAGGCTTAGAGTACGTAACTGGGTCAGGTTAGCCACAAAAGATAGGAATTCTCCCTTTATGCCAGTATTCTCAAGGCCCAAAGTGTAGAGCTTGGTTAGCTTTCCAACCCATGACCAAGAATCAGTAACTTGGCATGTGGAAAAATTATTGGGAACGCCATAAAATGAAGACATGTCTAGGATTTTCGTCCCCGCAAAAAAAAAAAGACATGTCTAGGTAACTGAGTTGGGTAAGGTTTCCCAGGGAAGATGGAACAAGGGAGGAAAATTGACAGTAGGAGATGTCCAACACACTTAAGACATGAAGGTTTCCGAGGGAGCCAGGAAGTTGGCCAGAGAAATTCGTGTAGGCAACACCCAATTTCTTGAAGAAATTACTCCTGTTAAAGGTGGGAAAATAGCCTGTTAGCTCTGGGTTAGAACTCACATGAAGAACCTCTAAGTTTGGTAGGTGGAAAATGCCTACTGGGAATTCCCCATTCAACCCACAAGTGTCAAGTTGGAGAGATGTGAGAGAAGATGCATTGACCAAGATATCAGGCACAGTGGAGTATATGTGTACCCAACTAAGATGAAGTTGTTTTATGTTGGTCAAGTTTTGAACCAGGCTTCTCATGTTTCCCTTGGTCAGTTTCAAAGGGTTAATATCAGGATAAAGTTTCTGAAAATTGAAAGACAAATCAAGGGTAGACAGCTTCGATAGCATTGAAATTTCTGATGGAATTTCTCCGGAAAACAAGGAATTTGAAAGGTTGAGATATGTTAGACTCGAAAGATCATCACCGAACCTTGATGGTATTTGAGAGAAATTGAAGTGATTATCTGAGAGGTCAAGCCTCTGCAAGTGAACAAGGCGGAAGAGAGTGTTGCTGGAATTGATAGAACCGTAGAGACAGCTGCTACGGAGATCAAGGCCGACAACATGGCCAAAGTCTTCATCACACTCAACACCATCCCATGAACAACAATTACTCCGATTCCCATCTCCTTCTCGCGTCCAAAATGAAACCTTCGGATAAGCAAGAGGATCTGCAGAAACAGACTTGCTAATTGCAAAGCTTTCCTTGAACTGCAGCAAGGCTGAGCACTCATCAACCTGGCCAAGTGCCTGAGTCTGTACAAGTGAAAAACAGTGAGTGGCATTGAGTAATAGCAAAAGAAAACAACGTACAGAAATAAACTTTGACGGCCACGATTCCATTCCCATATCACAGCTATGTTTTCTGATTATGGAAATGCTTATGGCTCTTACGTAATTAAGGATGGAGAAATCCACCTCCTTTTATAGACACAGCTCATGCAAAATAATCAAGGAAAATGGGGATGCTTGATGAGCGGTGATCAATCACCCCAAGACTTGAAGTCAAGTCGTCTGCAGGATTGATATTTATCTTGCTAGAAACATTGTTTCACAGTCAGAGTCTTTTGCATGTAACCCAAATGTGTTGTCTGCTGAGGAGGGCATTTCCCTCCTCCACTCTCTTTTATTTCCCTTTTATTCTTTTAGGTGAAAAAAATATTGTGGTGACTTGGTCTGAGTCATGCTTAGGTCTAAGCACCCCTTACATTTTTAATCTAATTCCTCAAATCCAATCACTTTACCCCGCATTTGAAGAAGTGTACTGCAATCTCCCTATTCAATTTTTTTTAATCATTGTTGTCAGTTTGGCATCTTTGTTTGCAATACGTCCAGTGGTGGTTCTACATGGAGGGCGGACAAGGCTACAGCCTGGCCCAAAATTTTCCAACCAAAAAAAGTACATATCTTTATCCCAACCCAAAAAAATAATAATATATATATAAAGCAAAAGGCAGAGAATGGTGAAGCATTCAAATAGCAGAAAATTCTCTTGGTTAATTCAAACATTAAGAATTGAAATTATTAATTAAATGAAGATAATGTGGTAAATTCATATTTTTTCATATTAAAAAAAATTAAAGTTAAAAACAAAATCAGATAATATGTCCTACTTTTATGGAAAACTACCCATGTTATCTTTTCTTAATTCTAAAAATAAAATAAAAAATAAAAAATAAAAAAGAAAACCAAAGGGGCTAGTAATAATAAAAGAAACGCTATAACTGCCTAGTTGATCTCTTCTATTCTCTACCTTTTGGCATCAACTTTTCTGCATTTGAGGAGGGTAAGGTTAATTACATCCCCTAACTAAGTGTATATTTTTATGTTTATTAATAAAATTTACTTGTGCAGTTGAGTTTAGTATGTAAATTTTGCCTAATCATCTTTGAAATCATGGTTCCACCACTAAATCTGCCTCATGTTCTACATTTTCTTCGAGGCTAAATGAGTGGTTTATTATTTGGGCATATAAGTTGTTTTAGAAGTTTAGTGGGCGTTTGGTATCCTATTTAAATAGGGAACCAAAAAACTTTGATTTTTCTTAAAAACAAGGAGTTCTTAAATCTATTTTCAAGATTCAAAAACTTGTTTGGTATGCAACTTGAAAACTATTTTCAAATCTTAAAAATTTGAGAACTTGTGGGTTGTTAGAAAAAAACTGAAAAAACATATATTTTTTGTTTTTAATAATTGGGGTTTTTTTAGTTGTTCTTGAGTTTGAGTTTTTAAAAATAGGCTACCAAACAGGTTTTTTTTGTTTTGGACTAAAATTCTGTTTTTGAGTTTAAAAAGTTAGATTCAAGTTGAATACCAAACAGGCCCTTAGTTCTTTTGGGTTTTGTGAGTTTGGCTTTGGATCATGTATTTTTAAGAACTTTTCCTATTAAGAGAGGTGATAACATATTAAACTCACACACACTATACAGATGCTAAAACTCAAACCCAAAACCTTTCTTGGAGAGAGCATTTGCTCCGAACCACTTTAATAGTGGGTACTTTGCTCGATCATGCTTAATTTTAGTGATGTAGTCTATACGACTTTTATTCCTTTTTTCTAGTACAAGCAATAGGCTAAACTAAAGGTGAGAGGGATTTCTCACACACGCACAAATATGATGGCATGGGGGTTCGAACTTGAGACCTTAGGTCTGCAAATTAAGATCCTTTTTCACTAGGCTAGACCCTGTTGGCGACTTTTATTCCTTTTATTTTTTGGTTTTGCTGGTTTTGTAGTCTTTTTTAGTTTGGTGTTTTTATTGTCTTGTAGGGTTTGGTGGCTTCTTTTGTTAGTTGTTTCTACTATTGAAATTGATCAAAATTTGTTATTTGACATAGTAGTTTTTAAAAAAATTAAGAAATGGATGTAACCAAAAACAATTTAATAAATGGATGGAGCACAACTTTTCTGTTAAATCATTAAAATGATATTATTTTTTGGTATTATGATGATCAAAAATCTATATATATAAAGCGAAAGGCAGAGAATGGTGAAACATTCAAAATACTAGAAAATGCCCTTGATTAATGCAAACATTAAGAATTGAAATTATTAATTAAATGAGGATTATATGGTAAATTCACACTTTTTCATATTTAAAAAAATTAAAATTAAAAGAAAAATAAGATAATGGCCTATTTTTATGGAACATAACTACCCATTATCTTTTTTAATTCTAAAATAAATGTTAATTTTTTTAAAAAAACTTCTCGCAGGCGCGGAAGCACGTGTGGAGAGGTTAGTAATAATTAAAGGAAAAAAATTGACACTTCGGACCATATTAATTTTGCTTATCTATATATATAACAAAAAATAAAGAATGATAAAATATTCAAAAACCCAAAAAATATCTTTGATTAATCAAAGTGCTAAAAGACTACAAATTAATATAACATGGGTAAAATGTTAAAACATTAATTTGATCAATTATCTATATATATATCAAACAAAATGCAGAGAACGGTGAAACATTCAAAATACCAGAAAATGTCCTTGGTTAATTCAAACATTAAGAATTGAAATTATTAATTAAATGAGGATAATATGGTAAATTCACATTGTTTTCATATTAAAAAAAATTAAAATTAAAAACAAAATCAAATAAGATGTCCTACTTTTATGGAACATAACTACCCATTTCTTAATTCTAAAAATAAAATAAAAAATAAAAAATAAAACCAATTGGCATATGCGTGAGCATGTGCACGCATGTGCCAAGGGGCTAGTAAAATATAAAATAAATTCCACCTAAGTAATTATATGGAGGAAGTTACTACTCCCCACTTCATCCACATTCCTCTTTTTACTTCTATTCACCCGTTTTGATTTGTCTCCTGTGATGGTAGGGTATGTAGGAATTTTCAAAATATTTTTCCAAAGTTCATTTGAATATTAAACATGCATTTAATCAAATTAATCGCAGCGGAAGTCTAAGGTGGTTGTTTAAATTCAAAAACAAAACTTCTTCCAAGTATCTTAAGCCATGAACATTGATATGTTTTTCATAAATGAAAATTCAAGAGAAAAGATAAGATCTAATTACCCTTGAAGCAATTATATGAACCAATTTGTGTTTGGTCTTCTCTTGATGATTTCCTCTTTGTTGATCTCCTCTTTGATCTTTGATCTTTGCTCCTTTATCTTTCTCCTCCATGTGAGCCACAAAAGTATATGGCCTCTAAGTCTCCACACCAATGGAACCTTGAGATGAGAAGAAGTATCTTGAGAATACTTGGATGCTAGTGCAAGATTCTCAAGATTGGTTTCAATCTAAACCACTTTGAAAAATGAAAGTATTTCACTCTTGAAAACTCTCCTTTTTCTCTCTTTGATCTCCCAAAACCTATTTGGTTGATGTTGGATTGTGTTTGTGTGTTAATGAGCTTATGGAAACAATTCCCATACACATTCACTTAACCATTTTCGGCCAAATCCCATTGGGCTTCCAAAATTCAAATACGTTTTTTTTACACGTAGTAAATCATCCACATCAAATTAATCAAATTGATTTCCTCATTCTCATTTGTATTACTCACAGTTAACCATTTAAGGTGTGCGATCCATTAGGTTCTAATTAGCAAGGCAGTGGGAAAATATTAGAACTTTTTCTAACCAACTGGAATTAAAACCCCTTTTTAATTTTTCCTTTATTTGGATCGATCACAATCAATCCTAGGACTTCCACAAGCCAAGAGTGACATCTAGCAATATGTCAAGGCTACCCAAGCTAATCAGAATAGATGAAGAACCTATTCAGTTGGAATTGCAATGCAATACGGTCCTTCTCTTATACAGTGTTTCAAATCATATTATTAGGGTACGGATTGTTTATGTCAAACCCCTAATATGATTTATAACCTCATGTGATTCACAAGAACGTGATTAAGAACAACTTTCTAAATCAAGCTCAAAATACTTTGGCCAAAGATTTATTGAATCACATCTTGAAACATTCTCCTTCTTTATCGAAAGTAGAGATTCCTTATTGTACATTCACATGCCCCTATGATGAATTAAGAGATCCCAACAACACTTAAGACAAATCTTTTACGGCTTGCCTTTAAGAGCTATCAAAGATCAATAACGCATCACAGGACAACCATGATGCCTCAGGTCTAAGGACTAATTTGCATTATTGCAACTATGAGTTCTCGTTTGACATATAGATAAATACTCCATACGAGAACTACGGTTGATCGCGTTCAGTGTACTCATTCACTAATGAGCACCCACATACTTGTATTAGTGTCAACTACACAAATGGTTTGAGACTAACCATCCTCCCAATTGAGCATACATAATATGCGCTAATCTTGACGGTTTATCAATGCCCATTTGATAACCTATGATTAGGAACATTTTGGGATACTACAATTAGAGATTAAAGGTCTCATGAATCTAATCTTCTTTAGATTACTTTATCTCTTATTTAGCATACCTTGGACATTTGTTTCTTTACCCGATGTAAAAGATAACAAATTAAATTTGCCCTTTATATATCATATACGAAATGTATTCTAAGGAGATCACATCAAATGTATTGGCTCTTAGGGCACATTTCTAACAGGGTAAAGTTCCCCATTATCTTGAAAACCATTAATTGGTCGACAAGTCAACTTTCTTTAGTGTGCGAGCGTGCCACTGCTAGCAATAAAATTCTAGCAGACTTCTTTAAAAATAGATAACTTGCGCCCCAAGTTACTGATTTCTAAACAAACGATTGTGAATTTGGGTGAGGAATATCTCCAAAGTAAGTTCTTTTCTTGCCTCAGACTGGTGAGGATTTCACAATTTTTCACAGTATAAAACGGATAGTTCTGGCCAAAATAGATGGTGAGAAAATGGATTACTTTTAGAAAGAACTCTCTTTTACAAGACTCAAAAAGGAAAAACTGACTCCGAGAAGAGAAAAAGACGTCTGGGCTTCCATTTCTGCCTGGGCAGATGCTTCTAATCCGGGCTGGATTGGATATGACTCTACTGGACTGGACTGTCAACAACTTGAACTGATCTGTTTCAGCTGCAAATCGATGCCAACGTTCGAGTATGGCAGAGCTTTCAATATATTTCAGACCCTGGAATGGCTTTGGTCGGGCAGAATTGGAACTTCTTTAGTTTGGAAGAGGCAGAAGTGGCTGGAACTGACTACTGAGCTGGAGCTTTACTATTGTTTGTACCATATTTGACCCTCCACTCATACAACGACACGTGGATCATAGAAAGTCATCCACGCCCCCAAGGCCTCGGACAATCGGCATCGGCTACCGATGGCATTGTCTCGAAGCTGCGAACAGCCAGTACAGGCCCAGCTCGTCTACAATCGGCATCCCTTACCGATTATACAGAATCAACCTCGAAGTACCCGCCCAAAATATCTAAAGACTCTTGTCGACCTCGTAAGGCCCTCCCACGAGTCCCACATCGAAAATGAGTACTAAGAGTATACAAAATCCCCTCTATAAATAGGCCCCTTCACTACAATACAGGGGTAAGACTTTTCAGCTTGACTTTTATACTTTTATATGGTCAACAGC